CATCCTCAGCCTCCTCCAATTTTCCTCATTACCTCCTCCGCTTCTCCCTCCTCTTACCTGGTCTCCCTTACGCCGATCCCCTCTTGCAGGACTTTCCCGAAAGAGCGAAGGATCTCGGCCGGGCGCTGGCCCAGGAGCAGTCTCACGCCAGACGTCAGGCCAGCAAGTCCTGGAACGAGTGGTTTTCGAAACGCGTTGAGAAAATGGAGGCCAGGAGTGCGCACACGTGGCCAGAACGCCTGTGGCGGGCTGGAAGGCCGCGACTGCCCTCTCGTCTTCTAGGATCGTGATCTCGGAGCCCCTGGCCATCCTCAAAAGTCAGGCGTCCATGTGTTCGAACACATGGGAGGCCGAGTCTCAGGCCCACACTGGCAGCTCGTGCACGATCCAGGAGGCCCTCCCACCCTCGGGAGTGAATTTCCCGAGAGAAGCGCCAAAGGGATGCTCTGCTGAGACGGCGTGCGCGGTGGACGGACTCCACTTGCGACACTACTCTTCGATGTCCCACGAATGCCTTTCGGTTGTATCATGGAAGCTACAAGGGCGCCCTCGAGGGCGCGAAGTTATTCGCGCTTCGCGGTTCGGCTCCGATTCCTCCTCATCCTCCTCTTCTCCCCTGGGAGGCGGCGCGAGAGCGCGAAGTTGTTCGCACTTCGCCTCGCGCTTCGCGCAGCGCGAAGCGCGAAGTGGGGAGCCCTTGAAGCTATGCCATGTGTGCTCCAGCAGCTGGAGTCGGTGCAGGTGTTTCTCCTGCTGAAGCCGCACGGAGGCCGGAGGCCGATCGGACTGTTTTCTTCGCTCCGTACGCTTTGGGGGGGCTTGGTTTTGTTTGCAGGCCAGCTCGTCGCCTCAGTTGCGGACGTGGTCTGGCGCCACATGGTTGCATCAGAGTCGGCCAAGTCCAAAGGCGTGCGTTCGGGCACCCTTCTCTAGGACATGACCAAGTTGTACGGTGGGATTTCGATGGAAAGACTGGAGACTCGTTGCGCCCAGTTCCAATTTCCGCATGTGATGTATAAGTTGTCGGTGGCCGCTTACCGTTGTTCCAGGTTCAGGAACATGAGTATTTTCATGAGCATGTGTAACTTGATCACGGGGCCATTCTTCTCCCGGAAAGGGTATCTCGCGGGATGCAGCTTAGCGACCTCTTACATCACGGTTTCACGCATCGAAAGTTTTGACAACATCGTTTTCCCCCCGAATGCCCAGCTAGACTTCTACATCGATGACAGCGGTATTCCATACACGGGCATTGTCAGCGAAGTGGTCTAGCGTTTGAAGGTCGTCCCGGCAAGCCTCCATCATGCCATCGTTTCCGATATGGAGTGCAGTATTTGTTGCGACAAGGTTGGTTTGGTTATATCCAGGAAGGAGGTGACGTCGCACGTGCTTGAATTCTTTGGCCCGCTGGTAGGGGGGCCTAGCGACAGCGTGATCAACTTCGGGATTGACGACGCAGGAGGGTCGCCAAATGCAGTAAGACATTTCGTTTTGAGAGTGGCGCACCTGCAGGCCATTATTCTTTACGCTTCGCGTATCCCCACCAGCCCATCTCACAACAGCAACTCTTGCGAAGCATGCCGACAGTCGTGTTTTTCAGGCGTGTTTTTTCAGTCGTGGGTGCCTCGGGGGAGCCTCTGGGGGCCTCTTGGGAGCCTCTTGGGGGCATCTTGGGGGCCTCTTGGAGGCCTCTTGGGGCCTCGTGGGGCTTCCTGTGAGGGGTCTGGGAGGAATCTTGGGGCCATCTGTCGGGGGATCGATCACAGATGAGGAGAGCATTTTTTCTCCCCCCCCCGTCGGGGCCAGAATCCTCGTGAGGGGTGTCGTTTTTTAGCCCTGCCAGGAGTCGAAAACGACCCCTCTGACCACCCGCGGAACGCCCTCTCCAGGCCCAGGGGGAGGGGGTAGGGGGAGGGGTAAACCCCTCCCCGAAGGGGAAGAAGGGGGGTTGAGAACAGTGAAAACTCGCTAAACCACTCACGCCCAAAGGGCTGGTGGGACTAAAAATATGGTCAGGTTCTCCTGCAGCATAGGGCGTTTCAGCAAAAGGATTTGGGTCACGGGAGTCTTCCCTGGGTTCTTGAATCGGGCCGAATTGTACGGCATCTCGGACTTCGGGTCAGGGACAATTTGCAGAAAAAGTTGGAAAATGATGCGTGTTGGTGCCAATAGTCGATCCCTCACCCCGGCCCTTCTCCTCAATGATGACACCATCTGGGTCGGAGCGGTGGCCCCGATTGTTCGGTGCAGTAAGGAGGCGTGGGCGGCCCATACGAACGCCTACCCTTACTCCCGTTCACTCCCCTCTCTTAGGCGTGCTTGGGAACAGTTTCGAGAAGCTTCAACCCACCTGCCGTCATGTGAGTGGACCGTTGTCGGTTGTGAGACTGTCGCTGACTAGGATAAGCTGGAGGATGTCGAACTTCCACAGCGGGGCTACCGCCCCACCATGCAGACATCGATGCTTTCCTAGTATGCTCTCCGCCAGCGCTGGTGCACGGCACGACCTCCCTTGATGATTACCTTTCACACCGCCAACGCGCTTCACACGAAGCTCACATGTGCTGGTTTTTCAGAGAGCGGAGTCTGTGGCTGGCATGCCGTCTGACCCTCTCAACGCGGCGGCCCGCGGGCGAGAACGGCGCGTGTGGGCGTGTGTCTTGCAGCTGGTGGTTCAACTGTCTGGCTTCCTGTATGCTTCGGTGACGAAGTAAAATATCGTGAAGGAAGCGCGATACTGGAAGCGTACACGAGATGTTCTGGGAATGTGTGGAACCCCCGGAGGAGGGGGCGCACATTTGTTGAATTTGAAGAGAACCAAAAAAAAAGGAGTCTCTGAAATTCCCTCTCTTTTCTTTCAAATTCCTCGGTCTTGGAGCGTTAGAATCCGCAAAACGTAAGAAGGCGAAACAAGTCTACAAAAACCACTGAGAATCAACGTTTTTACCCTCTTCGGGCTCTCTCGGGACGGCTCTCGAAGCTCTCGTAGGCTGTTTGGGGGGCCTTGTCGGCGCTATTTGGGGGCCTCTCAGGGGTCTGGGGTGTGTTGGAGGCCTCTGGGGGGTCCCGGAGTCCTCTCGGAGGTCTCTGGCGGCCTCCTGCTCCCGCTCTTGGGCTCATTTGGGGCCTGTTCTTGGGTGGTCTGGAGCTGTCCGGGGCGCCCCTTCGGCACTCTTGGGACCGTCTTGGCCCGTCTGAGGGCCGTCTTGGGGGCCTCTGGGGCGGTCTTGGGGGCCTCTTCGGCCGTCTTGGAGCATTGGAGACTTGAAATGGTGAGAAGGCCAAAAAACCCTGCAAGAAAATATGGAGATTAACGATTTTTCCAAGGGTCCCGAGTTCTACACGCTGGATTTGCTCGTCATGGTCGCCCCAGCCGACGCTCGTGTTGGCTACACGCCGAGGGCCTGGTGACCCAGGGCGAGGAGGGCGCGTGGCGCCTCCCGGCACCTGATGGTCGGGCGCTTCTGGGCAGAGCCGACCCCGGGGGAGTTTCTGCATGGTTTACTTGTCAGTTGTGGTTGTCATGTCACTCGAGATCGACACTTCCGTCGACACCAGCGCAGGGGCCCCGGTCTAATCATACCTGGCCGTGGTCACCTATACAATGAAGCCGCCAGGATCCGGCCTACGCTTTTTGGCCGCGGTCCAGGAGAACACAAGCAGGGAGGGGTCCAACAATGCCGTGTTCGGCCTCGCCCCCGTCATTAACGAATCGCTCTTCACCGTCGAAGAGCACCCCTCTGACTCCTCATCCAGGCTGTCATCCTGTCGCTCTAGCAGCAAACGTCAAGCAGATAATCAAGGACCAGGGCGGCGGTGGGCTCGTGGTTTGCCAAGGGTGCCCATAGTCCAAAGTGCCCCCAGATTCTCCCTCAGTTCGGGAGCTCTGGGGCCGTCTGGGTCGCGTGAGGGGTGCTCCGGAGGCCGCGGGGGCCTGGGAAATCCTGGGGCCAGGGGCGCTTCCCGGCAACACCCGATGAGTGAACGCAAGAGTCGAGTTCTCCAGCAGCCGGGTCTTCCGATGTTTCTCGGCAGGCCCATCTTGACGGCCCGATTTTCGGTGGATGTTTGCAGCGGGACGTCGCGTCAAGTTGCAGATTTGGTCTCGCCGTTTGCTCGACGGCCCCGCCAGCCCCGAACCCGATTCTCACGTTTCCCCGAAAGAGGAGGCAGAAGAGGACAGAGCATGTCGGGGGCGTTCAAAGGGTGGGTGGGGACAGAAGGGGGGGGCATCATGGTCGGGGCCTGGAAACGTTGCAGAGTCCATTGCTTCTTTTTCGTTCAAGACGTCCCTCTGCCACCCCCCCCCCCGCCCGCCCACATGCCCCGCCTCCTGCTGCCCGGCCACCCCTTTCAGGCCCCCATCGCTGGCGCAACCGAAAAGAGGGGCGGTCAGAGCCGAAGGACAACTGCATAGGCTTGGGTCTTTCTGAGGACCGCGCGGATTTCTCTGGATGGTCGGTGGGCCCCCCCTGGTGACGTCTTCTGCACAGCATTTGGCGCTCTCCCAAGGGCTAGGCCTCCTAGTTGGGGTCGGAGTAGATGGGGTCGGAAGATCGCGCCGCATCGCCGATGCATTGGCGATGCGGCTCGATGTGGAGCCCGATTTGCTTCACGGCGACTTCGCCGATGCATCGCCGGCGTCGCCGATGCATCGCCGATGCATCGCCGATGTATGGGCGATGCGGCGCGATCCTCCGACCCAATTTAGTCGGACCCCATGTAGGAAACTTCTACGAGGGAGAGTTGCCAGACGTCGATCCAAGACATCCATACGGACTTCCGAGCGTGCAATCTTACGCGTTGCGTGGGATGGACAGGTGGACGAAGACAGGGAAGGAAGGGGGGGAAACGAGTCGGCGGAGTGGGAGGTAGCCAAGAACAGGAGGTTGAAGAAAACGCAATAGAAGAGCAAATAGGGAAGAGGAAGCATGATGAGGCAATCTAAGATGTGGAGGAGGTCCAATGATGAGAGGGAGGGGGGAGGCGGGGACGTGGACGGGGAGGAAAGGGTGAGCAAGGACCGTAGCCATCCTGGCTCAAGGCAATTGCGCAGGAGCAGGAGGAGGAGGAGGAGGAGGTGCGATGCCTTGTCTTTTCTTTGCGGATGCTGGACATCCGTCGAGGGTCTCGAGAAGGCGCGGTTTCCCTCGAAGGGTCGATCAAGAACTGCGGCCGGACAAAACAATGGAGCGCAGCACTGCGGTTGCTCCGCGAAGGAATTCGATTGGGTGCGCAACTTGGCCCAAGCCACTACGTTGCGACTGTCAGCGCATGCAGAAAAGGCGGGCAATGGCAACACGCGCTGTCAGTACTGAGCGAGATGTGGGAGGCGAAGCTGGAGCCCAACGTCATCTCTACTACATTGCAGGGCCCCGCGCGTGCGAGAAGGGCGGGGGTTGGACACATGCCTCTGGCGCCCCCTGCGGGCCCCCGCGAGCCCCAGCTGGCTTCGGTGCGCTTCCAGGAGGGCCCAAGAGCGTTCCGAGACCCTATCGGAACTCCCCGAGAGGACCCCAAGACGCCCCAAGACGGTCCAAGAGGGCCTCCGAGATGGTCCAAGAGCGCTCGAAGACGCCCAATATCGCCTCCAGACGGCCCAAGAGGCGCCCAAATTGCCCCAAGTGGGCTCCAAGAAGAGCCCCGAGAGCCCGAACGAGGAAAAATCTTCGGAATCCTTAAAAAGAAAAAGGTTCATTTTGGCAATTCCCGTGCTTTTCGACTTCAAAGCGCCCAGGACGACAATATTGTCTCACAAGATCGCCACAAGAGGGCCCAGGAGGCACCTGGGAGGGCCCCAAGACGGCCCAAGGCGGTCCCAAGACGGCTCCTGAGGCGCCCATGACGGCCCAAGAGGCTTCCGCATGACAGCCCCAAGAGGGGCCAAAGACGACCCAAGAGAGCCCCAGGGCGGTCCGAAGACAGCCCCGGAGCCGCCCAAGACGGTCCCAGACGGCCCCAAGACGGCCCAAGGGGCACCCAAGACGACCCAAGAGGGCCCCAAGAGGCTCCCAGGAGGCCGCCAGACGGCCCAACAGGGCCCCAAGAGGTTCTTACAAGGCGGAACAGAAGCCCCAGAGCGCGGCCACACCCACGGAACATAAACGTCGACTTCGAGGTTTATTTTCCGACGCCTTGGGGCGGAGCAATCAACCTTCGCCCAGGACGTTCGTCGATTCGCCACGTCCACGTAATGCCAGTGCCTACTTCGAAGTCATCCTCCCAGGCTCCAGATGGGGCACAGACGGCTCGCCCCGATCGTTCGTGGATCAACGACGCCCACGAAACATATTCCGTATCTTCGGAGGCCATCCTCCATGGTTCCGCGGTCGGCCCCCAAAGAAACGCAAGGCCACTCCTCGGCCCTCCACGTCGACGGAAAATAAGCACCACGCTCGAGGTTTATTCTCCCACGTCCCAGGTGGGCAAAAGGGTTCTGGAGAGACGTCTTTTGTCAACCTGCGCTTTGGCGCTCACTCTGGAGTTCTGGGTTTCGTTTCTGCGGTGTTCCGTTTTTACCCTCCCAATGCATGACCCGAGGTGCGGCCGCACCCACGGAAAATCAACGTCGACTTCGAGGTTTATTTTCCGACGCCCCAGGGCGGAGCAAGTAACCCTCGCCCAGGACTTTCGTCGGCTCGCCACGTCCACGGAATGCCAGTGCCTACTCCGAAGGTTTCTTCAGGCTCTGGATGGGGCGCAGACGTCTCGCACGGATCGTTCGTGGATCAACGACGCACACGAAAAAGATTCCGTAACCTTGGAAGCCATTCTCCAGGGTCCCGCGGCCACCTTCTACATCCACACAGTCCCCTCCACCCCCCCCGCGAGGCCCATTTCCACGTCCACACCATGGCGGGCAGACTCCGCGGCTGGATGGCCACGGGTCAGCCCTAGTCATCTGTACTACAATTCCGGGCGAAGCGCTAGCGAAAAGGTCAAGCAGTGGCAGCGCCCCGGGCCGCCCAGAGAGCTCGCGGGCCGCCCGGAGAGCCTATGAGAGCCTCCGGGCCGCTGCCCGACGGGCCCGGGAAGCCCCCGGACCGCTCGCGGGCTGATCCAGGATTCCCAGGTCGCCCCAAGACGGCCTCACAGACACCCACAAAGGCCGAAGCCGACCCGACCGAAGCCCCCTGACGCACGGCCTGGACCCCCGAGAGACGGCCCCCGAGGACCGCCTGGACGGCGCCAAGGGGCAAACCTTATCCGTTTTCCGCAGATTTCGAGGGTTTTCCTGATCCCGCCACTTCGGGACCACGACGGCCCAGGATGGCCCCAGGGGGCTTCCCACATCGCCCCTGCGCGGTCCAAGAGGGCCCCAGGAGGGCCCCCAGACGGCCCGAGAAGGCCGGTAGACGGCCCACGAGGGCCCTAAGACGGCCCAAGAGAGCTTCAAGTGACTCCCAAGTCAGCCCCAACCAGGCCCCAGACCCCGCCCGACCGGGCGCGACCTCCGAAACGGCCCCAGACCTCAAGATGGCCCCAAGACGCCCCCAGAAGGGCCCAAGGTGCCGCCCAAGAGGGTCCAAAGCGACCTCCGAGACGGCCCGAGACCCCCGAGATGGCCCCAAAACCTCCCCGCGCGGCCCCCAACCGAGGCCCGCAAACGTGCCCCCTCACTCTGACTGTGCCTGAAAACCCTTGTGTTTTTGCTAATCGCGCCTAGGCCCGGCGCGATTCGCAAAAACCCATCTCTTATCACGCTTCCAGGTCAGTGCCCCCAGAGCTCGCCGACTGCTTTCCGGGGTGGCCCCCAGACGTGGCTTGTAAACGTCGGCCCCACGTGGCCCCCAAACGGGACCCCCAAAGGCGGCCCCCACACACAGCCTCCGAAGGTCGCCCCTACCGCCCCAGTAAGCGTGGCCCCCGAACATCACCCCCACGCGTAGCCCCCAGGCGCCCCCAAACGTGGCCCCCACACAGCCCCCAACGATTGCCCTCAAACGTGACCGTCACATGTGCCTCCGAAGGTCGCCTCTACCGCCCAAGGGACGCCAGAGCTGTTCAACGCCGTCGAGCTGTTTACCTACGGTGTGCGAGTCCCAGGCTCAGCACGCCGTGGATTTGATCCACGGCTTCACACTAGTCAGCTACAGCGTTGGGATCAGCGCGTGCGAGCAGGGCAAGCAGTGGCAGCGGGCCCTGGCGCTGCTAAGCGAGATGTGGACGGCGAGGCTGGAGCCAGACATCATCTCTCCTCAACGCCCGGACCATCGTTTGTGGATCCCGGAATCGGTGGCAGCGGACTGCCCCCCCGCTCGGGCCGCACTGGGCAGGCCCCCGGGACCCTGGGCCGCTCTGGGCGGCTGGCGGGGCCGCCGCGGTGCCCCGATCGCGCAGCGGCCCGTTCAAGATTGCCGCAAGCTGCGGCGGCACGCCCCGCTGACGGCTCCCGGGTAGCACTGGGCAACCCGAAGCAGGCCCAAGAGGTCCCCAAGAGGATCCCCCAAACACAGAAATCTGCTCATGCTTCCTGGATCGGCGCAGCTTCCAGATAGCCGAAGCGGCCCCCCATGGCCGCCCCAACACGGCCCAAGATGCCCCCAAGAGGATTCCAAGACGGGCCGAGAGAGCCCCAAGACGGCCCTTGAGAGCCCCCAGACGTGCCCAAGAGGGACCTCCCAAGAGAGCCCCAAGAGGCTTCCCAATAGAGCCCCGAGAGGGCCAAAGGAGGTCCCCAAGAGAACCCAAGAAGGCTCCAAGGGGGCCAGTAGACGGACCGCCGCCCGCCGCTGAGGAGGAGGACGAGGACGAGGAGGAGGAGGAGGAGGAAAAGGAGGAGGTGGAGGAAAAACAAAACAACCCAAAATCGTCTCCTGACAAATCCTGGATTTCGAGGGGACGCTTATGAGGCTTATTTTGGCTGCGGGATCGTCATTATGTTCAGGCGTTGCTGACATTGTCGCCGTCTTCACACCTCCCCATGCTGCACGCCTCCCCTCCACCTCTCTCCGCCTGCTCCTCGTTTTCTTCTTCCCCTCGCCTCCCTCTGCTCGCCTTGACTGGAGCGTCCCGCCTCCCTCGGCCGATTGGGGATGACACGGGGAACCTTCGCTGAACCGGAGCAGGACAAAGAACTTTCTCCCCTCCTTCCGCTGCCCTTCTCTTCTCCTGTTCGCCTGCCCTTCAACCTGCCAGCCCCCGCCCGCCGATTAGGAACGACGGGGAGGCTCGCGCCCACTCGCAGCAAGACCAACACAACGAGACCCCATGACGCCACCCCGATGCCCGTCGGCCCCGCCCACATAACACCAACGCCCTGACGCCCCCAAGGCGCTAGGTTGTTTTGCGGCATGGCTGTTCACGAAGCGTAGCGGGGTGGCATGTGGTTAGAACGAAGGTAATATGGAAAGGTGCTGTTTTTTTCTCCAATTCCAACGTAGCCGTTATATAGGCTACTGGTGAACAGCAACGCATATTCGATACTTGTTATTTTAATGGCATTCTGCTATGAAATGGCGTAAGTGCTCAAGCGCAAGCGGTGTTTGCGGCGCGCAGCGGGTGCCTTGTTGCGAAAGCCGATTGTCATGGCAGCTCAGGGCGACCAGACTTCCTGCAGCGGCGCGCGGGATCGGCTTCCACGGTTCGGTTTCGGGGTCTCTCGCCGCGGGGGCGCGCCGTGAACTGGCGCGGCGCAGGGCCCAGCGTCGCCCGTGCGCGTCCTACAAATTATTGGCGAAGGGCCCACCCATCTGCAGTCCTGATCGCAGTTTCTGGTGGAATTTCTTTGGGGGCCAGGGGGCGCGCGACAGGGGCGCGCCGACGTGAACCAGGGCCGCAGCGCGAGCGGTGCCAGCGAGTGCGGCGCTTTCAGCGAAACTTCCTGCGGGACCACGACGCGCGCGACAGTTGCGCAAATATGCCGCGCCCAGCCGCTGCCGCCAGGGCCTTCGGCGGGGTCCCCCGTCGAGCCGCGAAGTGTGCGAGGTATCTGCAGGCGCCGCGCACGGCCGCCGCCTCTGGCGCTTTCGGCGGAGGCCCCCATGGGCGCGAGCGGCGCCCAAGTACGCGCGCGGCCGCTGACGCTGGGACCTTCGGCGGGTTTCCTTATACGGGCCATCGAACGCGCGAAGGGCGCGAAAGCGCAGCACGCGGCTGATGCCGCTGGGGCCTTTGATAGAGCCCGGGAAGTGCAAGTGCCGCGCGCGGCCGCTGCCACCGCGGCCTCGACGGAGTCGCCTGCGGGGCCACGAAGCGTGCGAGGGGTATGCAAGTAGGGCGCGCGCTTATGTCACTGCGGCTTTCCGCTGGGCAAGTGCATGGGGGGCCTGCGAGCGCCGCGCGCGGCCGCCGCCGTTGGGGGCTTCGGTGGGCCCCGCGTCAGGGGCGACG